GATGAGGCCACCTCAGGGTTGAGAGAAGCGTGCAGGGTGGTCAGGGCATCCGCGAAAGAAATGACAGACACACTTCAAGAGTGAAAATCTGAGTGTAATTTTCTTTGAGTTTGTGACCAGTATATATATGTTTTCCAAAAGCACAGGAATGAATATCAAAGAAATTAGCTTGCTCATGGGCTCAGTCTATCACCATCAGGGAGGTGATCTACATAACAAACAATGACCATTATAGAAGAAAGAAGGAAGTTTAGAAAGACAGATAAGGGATTAAAGTTTGTAGTTCTAGAAAGATGGGATAAGATTTTTAGCATTCTTGTAGTGGTTCTTGGTGGTCCTTATCTTTTGATAAGCTTCTGCCTTTTCAGGGAACTTCTGCTGAACTTCCTCTGCTTCAGGGTGTTAAGCTGTTCTCCCCCCCCCCCCCCCCCCCCCCCCCCCCCCCCCCCCCCCCCCCCGCGCGCTGGTTGCCCAGCCGGAGGACCTAGGGACAGTGGTGAAAGCCATTCCTAAAGATCACTGCGGGGGGAGGTGCAGCAGGTAGGGTTTTGCTGTTCTCCCCCTGCAAGCTGGTTGCCCAGCCGGACCTAGGGCCGGTTAACCCTAAAGGTCACTGCAGGGGGAGGTGCAGCAGGTAGGGTTTTGCTGTTCTCCCCCTGCACGCTGGTTGCCCAGCCGGACCTAGGGCCGGTTAACCCTAAAGGTCACTGCAGGGGGAGGTGCAGCACTCATCAATAACATATTTGTTTTTAAGGAACTCTGTGGCATACTTATCTCTACATCCTCATTTCTTAGTACTGATGTTAGCATATTGTAGCTCTTTATTGTTTGCTGGACAGATGTTCTGAATCTTTAAAATGGGCATAATGATACGTACTGCTCTGTGCTGAGTTTCTATGGGAATCTGGTGAAATGTTGAGTGCAAATATGCTCTGTAAAGATATCATGAGTGCCGGTGACTGACCTAAGTTCTAGTATATGATAATAAGTTGCGCTGCTTGTCCCACAACCCTCTTTACATAATCAAATAAATTGGTAACTGAGGAGCTTACTTGAAAATGAAGCGCTCACAACTTAGGTACAGACATGCACAAAGTTTATAATACTGCATGTGAAAGGGATGAGTAGAGAAAAGATCCGCAAAGTGGATCATGAGGAAGAATAGGATTGTGGATTTTCTGGAGACAGTACATCATAAAGAAGGACCTTGGAAAGACAAGAAAACTTGGACAATAGGTTGAATCGAATGGAAAGAGTTGTCTAAATAAGTTCTCTTTACTTAGGGGCCCAAGCAGCCCTGCTGTGGGACTTCCCCAACAGAGGGCAGATGTATCCCCCTCTTTGTTGGGAAATAATGAGCTGCCATATTAGAATGAGATCGTGGTATACCAGATGAACAAGTGGAGAGCTTTGTGGATAACTTTGTGCAAGTACTACGTGTGGAAGCTAGAGACAATGCTTTATCACAGGTCTTTCTGGCAGATACTGTGGTCAATGGCTATACTTCATGGCTTATATTAGTACTAAAGAACAGACTTGTAAGACAACTTTCAAGTCAAAATTTGTTATGGTGAAGAAGAGACTGATAAGGTTCTCTGATAAACTTTGTCTTTTCAGAAGTCTTATTTAGCATAACTATGCTTTCTTTCTGTTACAAGGACTTTTAAAAATGGGAACATTTTAATTAAATAAGTCGCATCATGTATAATCAAAGTTGCTGGGCTAGACACTCTAAATTCACTCACTCACTCTAAATTCACTTCTCTGGGTAGAGGAGTCATACATAAAATTTCACAAATCAGCCAGACCAGATTTTTTTTCCCCCATAGAAGTGAATAAAGGGGAATGAATATAGAGAAGCAAGTCCTAAAGTTGAATAAAAATTGTGCTTGGGTTGAAGAAGGACTAGCTTCCTAAGAGGGTGGAATTTTTTTTTAAGATTTATTTATTTATGCCTACAAGAGCTGGGGTACAGGCCAGAAATGCGGGGAGGAGGGAATAAGATGATTCCCCAGAGATAGAGTGGGAAGTAGAACAGGCAGACAGACTGAAAACACTGCTGAAGGGAGCAGCGGGTGAGACAGGAGAGGTCTGCTGTGCCATGTGGGTATCTCCCTGGCCAGGGATCAAACTCATGCTGCAGAGGCTGCAGATTGCTTCATAGTACTATGCTTAACCCCTTGCGCCACCAGGGAGGCCCAAGGCTAGTATATTCTTTTTTTTTTTTTTTTTTTAATACAAGCACTGGGTACAGTCCTGGGAGGGTAAGAGAATTCACCATAGCCAGAGTGGGGAACAGAACAGGAAGACCGACGAAATGCACTGCTGAGGGGAGCAGCGGGCAGCAGGAGAGGTCTGTGCGCCATGTGGGACCCTCGCCGGTGGCCGGGGAGCGAACTGGCTCTGCAGAGGCTGCAGGCAGCTTCGCAGCCCAATGCTCAACCGCTGAGCCACCGGGGAGGCCCCCAAGGGTAGTATATTCTTTACTGAACATGGATCCTGGAGCATTTTTCTAATCATGTGGGCATTTGCCCACATCAAGGAATATACAGACCATTGATTCAGTTGTCTAGATTGAACCCACAGAACTATAGAGTGCACATTGCTCCAGCAGGAAAGTCACATTGAGTCTCTCTCATTCACCTGATTTTCTAGAACTAGGATGACCTCAGAAACTACCTCTAAAAAGAGGAAGCTTTTTTTAAGCAGTTTGCATTCTGTGAAATGCAGCCAAAGAGGAGATGGGATATCTCAGGTCTTTGAGAGCACAGGTCCCAGAGCATACGCACCTGACCTTAGGCAATCTGTGAATCACTTTAGGCAACAGCTATTCATCTCTAAAATGAAGGTAAACTTCTTCAACAGGAGGCATCAATAATATGTGAAATAAAAAAATGCTAATTAGACCTGTACCTAGCAAGAGTGAGTACTCAATAAATTAATATCAATACAATTGCTACTATTGGCAGTGGAGTTTAGAATTGGGATAGAAATTTGACAACCAGATATAAAGGGTGATCCTATGCTAGTGAAGGATGTCTCCATTCAATTCACTAAAATTTCTGAACTCTTAATATTGATGAGTCATTTACAGTGGTTAGAAAGATTATTGAGGCTTTTTTTTTAATATCAGATGTACAAAATTCATGAAATGAGAAGACAATTAACAGAAATGTCTATGAGACAAAATAAAGATAATTACACCCATTACTCTTAAGAACTGTTTTGGCTATTCAGAGGAGGAAATTATTTTACCTAATGGTGAAATTCATTAAGTCAGGACAGACTTAATGAAACAGGTTTTTTACATTCTTAGAAGGAAACATGGAGTTTAGAAAAACACAGATATGAAGAAGGATAGATATTTTAGTGAGGAAGAAGGAAGTGCAAAATACTCTAGTTTATGTGTGATAAAAATGTAAGCTGAAAATTCAGACTAAGCTTACAGGGCAGAAAGTCTTAGGAAATTCTTAATTGTATAGGCTATGGAGAAGCATTCCACATCTCTCTCGAGTGGACTGGTAATTCTCTAAGGACGGAATATTTAGTTGTGTATATGAATTTTTCATGATATAATATGGCACTGACAAATGGCACTCATAATTGTTTGAGTAAACAGTGATGGATGGATGGATGGATGGACAGATGGACAAATGGACAAATAGACAAGTTAATTAAATAGTGATTGTGGAAGATATGTATCCAGCCATATCTTGTACACATCTTATTGTTCATTTATTAATTCACTCATTCAGTTTTTAGTAAATATCAAAAATTAGTATTTTGGAAACTATACTGCACACTATTTGATAGGAATTTTTCTATCTTGCCTAGGAAATCCACAGAAGATCATTTTGCCCACCCTATGGAGAGATTAACTTTCTTTGTAGTACACTTTACTGCAGGGATTTTTTTCCTTAGTCATTTTTGTTGAATCTTTGAGTTGATTTAGATAAGAAGGATGGATCTTTTGAAATTTGGACCTCCCCAATGCCAATTTTTATGCTTCCACAAGCACTGCAATTGAGGCCACTCTGCCTGGCTATTAATACTCTAATGGAACGGCATGCCCTCATACAAAAGGGAAATCAGACATTGTGCTGAGCTGATTAGAAATGATGGCATGGAGCTTCTTCCTGAGAACGGAAGTCCTGTAACCTCAAGTACCAAGGACTATAAATCTCAGCAATATATAATGGTAATTGGTTTGAAAGGCCTAATCGACACAGAGAACGGAAGCCAAGTACAGAATGCTCAGGACTGTAAGCTCCAGGCCTCCGCCTTCTTCCAGAAGGAGATGTGTCATTTTCTCCCTCAGTGCTGGGAAAAGCAATAAAGAATTTCAAAAGGAAAACTTCACTAAATGTCTAGGCCAGAAGCCCTCCCTGATGACTGGTAGGGTTTAAAAGTGAAGTACACCTGCAGCACATTAATCTGGGAAGCTGGTAAAAACATGAATTCCTAGTTACCATTTTAGACACATTGAGTCAGAATTTCCAAATTTGGGTCCAGTAATTAGTAATTTTAGGAAGTTCCAGTCAATTCTCATTCACAGTGTTGTTTGTGGACCACAGCTCCAAATATCTATCCTTCTTCTCTATAAGACCATCCTCAGCCCTCTGCCTCAATTATAAAGAAAACACCTGTGACCTTGGTTTTAGACAACCCATGTTCAAAATTCAACTCTGAGTGTCTTTAGCAAATTCCACATTCTTTCTCCAAACCCCACAGGTTGTTGTTTACTCACACCTGAGACAAATACAAATTAGCCAGTTGGGAGATATTTTTTTTTCTCCATGCAGTCTCTCTAAGGCCAAGTATGTTTCCATCTATGACTTCATCTTCAACATGTTGCTTCCAAAGTCAATGCAGAAAAGCAGGACGGCCATGGAGACAATGTCAGACTCAAGTGCCTCAACCCAGAAGAGACACACAGAACTTTTGCTCATGTTTCATTGGCCAGAGCTCCTCACATTGACCCATTCAGGAACAAGGAGGGCTTCAAAAATCCCTGGGAAGGCAGCTGCTTCCTAACAACTTTGCACTGTTGAAGGAAAGCCCAAGTCTCTCTCTCAGTCACTCTACTAACTCATGCAGTTGCTGTGAAAATTAAAGGAGAAAATGCACAGCAAATGCTTAGCACAGAGCCTAGTACACAGTACATAATCAATAAATATTAACTGGAGTCACCATTCCTAAAACCACAAGGTTAATTACATTCTTTATAAACACGAGTGGAATGGCTTATTTAAATGCCAAATTGACTTTCACAATGACCCAGCCTGATTTCAGTCTCATTTTTATGAATTCATTCAACTCATGCTTATTAAGTACCCACTAAGGCAGTACACACACAGTAAATAAACTTCCTACTTGTAGACATTACATAGAGTGGTGGGAAGACTAGACATGGATATGATTTCATAAGTGATTGTTTAAATTACAAATGTGAGGGCCTCCCCTGGTGGTGCAGCCGTTGGGCGCTGGGCTGCGAAGCTGCCTGCAGCCTCTGCAGCGCCAGTTCAATGCCCGGCTGCCAGCGAGGGTCCCGCATGGCGCGCAGACCTCTCCTGCCGTGCCCGCTGCTCCCCTCAGCAGTGTGTTTTGTCAGTCTGCCTGTTCTGTTCCCCACTCTGGCCCTGGTGAATTCTCTCACCCTCCCGTGCTTCTGACTGTACCCAGTGCTTGTATAAATAAATAAATAAATCTTAAAAAAAATAAAATAAATTACAGATGTGATAAATTATGTGAGAGAGAAGTACAGAGTAATAAAAAATATATATCTTAAAGACTGACCCAGTCTGTAGTGTTCAAGAGAGGCTTCTTTAAGACCTGAAAAATGAATGGAAATTGGCCAAATGAAAAAAGTGGGGAACATATTTCAGGCAGAGGGAACAGACGTCAGCCTCTTCTTCCAGATCTCACTCAGACCTGGGGGGTCATTCAGCTTGCACATCAGACTTCATGGAATCTTCCAAAGCATCATCTGCTTAAAAATGCAAATAAATAAAAACATCCTGGTAAATATGTCTACAAGAATCATTAGAAACTTACAAAGAACACACAACATCCAAACACTTTAGCTCCTCCAAGGAACCTGCAGATGTTCTTATCCAATTGCAAACATTCCTTTTCTCTTCTTTGAAATCTTCAATAAATCTCTCTGTACATAACTTTTCTCAGCTTGATTCAAGTCACTAAAAGTGTTTCATATCAAAACATTTCTGTCATTTGTACTGCTCTTGGGTGACTATTTGGTCTTTAAGATGCAGAAATATGATTTTATGTTAAGTAGTATAAGAAAATAATAGTGATAATAAATTAGAGGGAGGAGACTTTTAGAGATGGTAGATAGGCTCGCGGCATAAATTGTCATATTGGTTTCATTGGTACAGTGACCGCCAAACTTATTGAGCTGTGTAGGCTAATTATGTACATCTTTTTGTATGTAAACAGAAATACTTTTTCAGAGTGAAAAAAGCAGAAATCGTGTGCACATTTGGTCTCCTAAGTACACACACAACCACATACACATGCATGTGCATATTGTGTATCTACACATGTGCATGTGCACCCATAGAGTAGAGGAGTATGACTGTGAGTGATAAGTACTAAGTAGATCTAAACAGTTCAAGCCCTGGCTCTACGATTTGCTGGTTGAGTGATCCCAACTCCTTAGCATGACACTCAAAGTCCCTCATGCTTTTGAACCTACCAAAACTTTCGACCATTCTTCCCTGAAGATGCCCTTGGATACAGCCAGAGCAAGCATGTGGGCCCCTGGATTGTCCCTCATGCATCCATTATCTCATACCTCATGTGAAAATCCACTATCTGAAACTCACAGGCCTCAGTCTCTACCCTCTGCTACACATACCACTTCTCAGCTCCTACTCAGTCTGAAAATGAATTTCAGTCTCTCTAAGCTTTTTGTGATATCTTGTTAGCCTCATACACACCACACCAAGCAGACTTAGGTGTCCATTCTCTGGGGTGCTATCCTCTGCTGAACACACTGGTAACATTTGTTGTACTATTTTCTAACTATTTATATGCCTTGCTAGCATACTATGTAAATTTTTCAGCATGAGCAGAGGAGATACATATATATATATATATATGTGTGTGTGTGTGTGTGTTTGTATGTGTGTATGTGTATGTGTGTGTATATATATATGTATGTATGTATGTATGCAAATAAATATATATATATATATGTAATCCCAGCACCTAGAACAGTGCCTGATACATAATGGGCATTGAATGCATGTATGTAAATCAAATGCCTGCTCTAATCATTTATTCTCTTTGAGGGTCAGTTTTTTTCTCACCTGTGGAAATGGAAATAATACTTGCTTTACTTATTTCATCTATCATCTTATTAAATGAGAAAGTGTATCTATATTGCTTAGCGGAGTCTGCCATATGGTAAGTGTGAAAGATTGATTAAGTTAATAAATACTTGAGTGAGTACCATGTCCTGGATTATGAATGTAAAAATATTTTCCAACAACTAAGTATTCTACACATATAGTCATATATTCAATAATCATAATGGGATTGTTGTACTATTAAGACAAATATGTGTGTACACTTCTGCTTATTTAATTATAATAATGGTAATAATATAAATAATAATATAAATAACCCTGTTCATGTGCTTGAAGAATAATAAGAGTAAGGAACACAGAGTTTGCAATCATTGGAGTTTTGAGCCAAATGATAGCACTTGATGCATAACCAGTTATGAATTCCAAGGTCAGTGAATTTAATACATTTTATATCATTGTAAATGTTTGCTCTACTCCCAGAGAAGATTAAAAAAATTCCCCTGTTTGGCTCAGGAGCTTGCTTCTCTCCTGGCAGTGTGCATCAGACTAAATGTCACAAGAATATTTCAGCATATGTGGGTAAATATTTACACTCATTTTAAACAGATATTCCAAATTCCTTGTTGTTTTTCAGCAGAGGTCTAGCCCTGGTGGTAAAAGTCATGAATAGGACTTTTTTATTCTCACTAAGTGAAAAGGGGCTTCTCAAGGATTCTTGCCTCCAGGGTGCTCTATTTTTCTCCTTCCATTCTCTTTGGGTTGAGCTGTTGGAAGGGAGAACTGGCCCTCTGCCATGAACTCTCTTCTGGGCTACTTCAAGTTATTGCTCCATGGTCTCTGAAACCCAGTAGAAGATTCAGCTGTGGTCTCAGGGAAGAAAAACATATAAAGCCAAGAAAAGGGAAGAAATATAGAAGATATAATATGAAGAAATAACTCTTGTAAAAATGTGTGATGTTATGGCTTTAGGATGCAAATGGGCAGGCAGAAAGATTTACACTGAATTTCCAATTCTAAGAGCTATGGGGAATCATGGCCAGAGCAAATCAAAGGTTGTGTTTGTACGTTGGAGATAGAGGGAACACAAGGGTACAAACATGGAGAACATTGGCTGAGTCGATAGGCTGATAATACACAACACTTGGGTTATCGACATTTTTCTGTTTATCTGTCTGTATGTATTACCCTAGCAATTTCCCTACCTTTCTCTACCATCAATAGTAGAGCCCCTCCTTTGTGGAAAAGGCATAAAAACATCTGCTTATTGATGAGGGGAAGAAGCTAGCTTCAGCCTGTTCTAATGGGCTATTCTGAAGCTTCATTGATGCCACGGAGTAGCTACATCTGAAGGCAAGGGGGGGGGGCTCCAATTTTTATAACCCTATATCACTCAGTTATTGGCTGCAGGGTTGCCAAGTGGTTGGACAACAAAGGCCATCTCATGGACCTCTTGGGCTGTTTGAGTAAGGTAGCTCATCACAGAATAAGGGGGATTCTTAGACTATGAGTGCTATGAGCTGTTAACAGCCAAAAGTCACAACTGCAGTGGAAAAAAAGGGAATCTTTGTAGGTACAAAAAGAAAGTACTGAGTTGGGGGGCCTCCCCTGGTGGCGCAGCAGTTGAGTGCTGGGCTGCAATGCTGCCCACAGCCTCTACAGCGCCAGTTCCCTGGCTGCCGGTGAGGGGCCCACAAAAAAAAAAAAAAAAAAAAAAAAAAAAAAGAAATTACTGAGTTGGGGTTGTGTAGAGAGACAAGTGAGAATCATAGAGCATTATAAGTTCTAGCAGAGGAACTGATTTTTTTCATTCTGTGTTTACTGAACTTCCACTATGTTAGTAATACGACCAGGCACCAGGGAAGCAAAGACCAGAGGGAGTCTTCAGTATTCTGAATCCTAAAACGATCAAGACAAGAACTTGGTGTTAGGATCAATAAAGTGGGACAGTGAAGGCCATGGAAGACCCTGAGCACAACACGTCCATACTCTATACCTGCTAGGTGAGCAGTTCTGTGCTTTGCATTGTGAAGGCAACAAAGTTGTGTAAGCTTGTCTTCCACTTCTAGGAAGATAATGAGTGAAAAGAGTAAAGAAATAAAAATACAAGGCATGATGCAGTCTATGTCTCATAAGAAGTAGGAAGATTAAGTAGTAGGAGAGTGTCAGAAAGATCATTAAATGGAGAAAACATGGAAATGTGAGAATTGGCTTTGGTACCCACTTTTAAGGATTAGCAGAATAAGATACATCAGCAGGGAAAGGTTTCCCAAATAGAGGGAATGGCATAAGAAAAGGTAACAAGAAAAAAAAGTTTCATGTAAGTTGTCCTCCATTGTTTCCAAAAAGTGGGCTTTTACTGGCATAGCAGATGAACCCTGGAAAGCCATAAAACATGACCCTGGAGAGGAGGGCAATAGGTAGAGAAACTTCACATCTAGGAAAAAAAGGCTTTAGATGTCAAGTCGCAAAACAATGGGCAACCATGAATATATTCTGAACAGTAAAACTTCATAACTTGAGCAGTCCAGTGGGAGAGTAAATCTGGCAGTGCAGAATGCATACAAGGAAGCAAGAAAAGCTAGGCAAGACTGAAATAAGCTGCTTCACAATTCTGTGTAACATGCGAGTTACCCAACATGGAGGTTTTAAAATAGAACACACTAATGTGGGAGTGAACCCAAATATAAACTAGGGACTTTGACTAATAATAATCTATAAATATTGATTCATAAATTGCAACACATGTATAACAGAAATGCAAGATGTTGATAATAAGGGAAATTCTGAGAAGGGGGAATAAGGTGTGAAGGGGTATATTGGAACTTTCTGTTAAATTTTTGTACAGCCATAAAAACTACTCTAAAAATAATGTTTTAATCTAAAAAAATTAACATTTTCCTGCTATTTTACCTGACCTATTCCTACTCATTCTTTAGAATGTACTAAAAATAGAGCATTTCTTTCTGTTCCTCAAATGGAACCTCTTTGTTTTTAACTAACAAAAATATTTATTTATTTGTTTTATAAATTATTTTATTTTATATAATTCTTACATCATTTTTCATTTTTGCATAATGTATGCATTTTCGTTTTGGTTCTATTCCCCATACAATTCTATGGTTTTATACTACCCTGGACTTATCCTTGATTCCACTTTTACTATTGATGAGTAGGAATACTCTCATACTGTGATGTGACTGAAAAGTATTTTTTATTCCACTAAACTACTGAGATTATAGTGTTTGTTGTAAGAACTGTCACTTACCTTAATATGCATATGCATGAAATATGGAGCATCTGTGGTTCAGGATTGTGTTTGTCTTCTTCTTAATTCTCTACTACCTATAAAAAGCACCTGACTCTTAAGGAAATACTCACTAAATGTTTATTGACTGTATGTTTTCATTACAAATTATCTTATCATAGATATGTGATATTGGCCATGAATGGTGACTTGCTGGCAAGGATGTGGAGAAAGGGAACCCTTATATGTTGTTGGTAGGAATGACATTGGCGCAGCCGCTATGAAAACTGCCTGGAGGTTCCTTAAAAAATTAAATATAGCACTACCGTATGATCCAGCTACTCCACTGCTTGGAATATATCCAGAGGAAATGAAAACACTATGTTGGAGAGATATCCAAGACATGAAAACAAC